GAGAAAATATAAAGAAGAAAGTACTGATGCTGGTCCTCCTTCCCACCCAGCATTCCAAGATTGTCGATCTGTTGACGAGTTCCAGTACCAGTAGAATTGATGAAGGAGCATTTGGTGTTGTGCACAGAGCAAAGGACAGACTTACAGGGAAGAAGTTGCTTTAAAACAACTCAAAAAAATCAATCAGAGGGAAGGACTCTCCATCGCCGCTCGGAGAGAACTAGAAATCTTGCATAATATGAAGCATGTCAACGTAGTCACAGGATGGGGAATTGCGGTCAACTCCTTGGGCGAGGAAGTATTTATTATAATGGAGTACGTTGACTACGACCTCAAGAGTTTCTTGGAGACGATGCATGTCAACCGACAAATGTTTACAACAGAACACGTGAAGTGCCTGATTACGCAACTCCTAAGAGCCGTGCAACATCTCCATGACCATTTAGTGATGCATCGGGATATTAAGACGAACAATGTTCTTCTTTCTCGAAATGGTATCCTGAAGGTGGCTGATTTTGGGATGGCTCGGGCGTATGAATCCCTTCCTCGGCAATATACGCCAGGCGTAGTAACACGCTGGTACCGCGCACCTGAAATACTACTTCTGTCCAGAGAGTACTCCACTCCTGTTGACATGTGGAGTGTTGGATGTATACTTGCCTAGCTGTTAACCTTGCAGCCACTGTTTCCCGGCATAACTGAGGTAGAACAGTTGGACAAGATATTTAAGGAATTGGGGACGCCTTCAGAAGCGATTTGGCCCGGCTTCAACTCTTTACCGATAGTACAACACCTAATATCAACAGCTATGGCGCCAGGAGGCTTACGGAAGAAGATAGGCCGCGATACACTTTCGGATTGTGGCTTTTGTTTGCTGCAAGGGTTGCTTACTTACAATCCGTTAAGTAGAACGACGGCAGCTGATGCTTTAGAGCATGAATACTTTAAAGAGGAGCCGGTAGCGATCGAGCCTTCCATGTTCCTGACGTGGCCTGCTCGCTGCGCCGAGCCGGGTGAGGCTCTCACTGCTGGTTCACATCAGTGCCAACTCGAAAGTGTTGATTGATGAAGTTTTGCTCAAAATATTTAGTATTTGCTATTTAAATGAAATATTTATTATTAATTTATTGATTTTAATTCATGTATATAGTGTAGTGTATTAAGTTGTGTAGTTAAGTTTTTTAATATTAATAATGTTTAAATTAGTAAGTAATAACTATTTTAAAATTAATTTTTATGTATGTCAATAATGTTTAGTGTAGTTGAATATGTAAATATTAATTATATTGTAAATATTTTTTTTTAATGTTATGTAATAAAACTTTTGTAAATTATGATACAACTTGACAAAATAAAAAATCCTAAACAATGTTAATAAAGTATCTTGTTCATATTTTCCCTTCCATAAATTTAAGAAACCTTAGCCCAACAAAAACTATTTTGTTTTGAAATGGCCAGTACAGTACTGCAGAACGGCAATTTCATAGGTAAAGACCTAGGTATTATTAAATAATAAATATCTGCAAGTAAAATTAAATGTAAGGTACATTCAATTTAAAGGTTATTTAATTTTTTATTTTAATAAAAAGAAGTTTTGGATCAAAGGAAACTCCAAGAACTTTAATTTTGTTGTCCTTGGTTAGTCAGGTATCAAAGAGAATATTAGAAAATAATAGAGGATCCGGTTTTCGGATGAATGAACAAACATAGTTTTAAAAACGTTAACATGTAACCTGTGTGTTTGAAAGGTCAATCTGTAGTAGCAAAGCATCAGCATATGTATTAATCCGTTTTATGATCTTCATGTCGACCGCATACAAAAATATTTTGAAATGTCGAAAATAGGAGGTGACGTCATTAATAAAGATGTTAAAAGGAGTGGACCTAACAATGACCCTTGGGGAACTCCTGAAGGAATACACAAAGCTCTCGAGGAGTAGCCATTCAGCACCACAGCCTGACATCTACCCTCAATGTATGACTAAATGACTATTAATTTAAGAACGTAAAAGTCTAGTTCAATTCAATTTTTAACCGACGTATTTAATATTTTTCAACTTTGGTATTAAATAATAACCATTGTAAAACTAGATAAGTTAAAAGTTATTTCTTTGTTCAAAGTAGGAATAATAATGAGAGTGTAACTGATCCCAATCGAATACGATTCGATAACCGAAATAAATTCACGATAGATGACGTTGGGATGGAAACGATGCTATGTTACGGTAGTACTTATTAAACTTGGCTAGCTCTGAAGTATTGGTTTTATTTGAGTGTCACTGAGTTTGAGGCATTTTGAACTCTAAAACGTTTTAAAAAAGCTTTAAAAAAATATAAAACACTAATATTACCTCCTGTAACGTTGCTGCGTAAGCTAGCATACGAACTCAAATAAACACCACACAAAGACCCAAAACTATATAATATGTGGCTCACATAAAGAGATACACAAAATATAACCATATTATGCTCTTCAGGTACCCGAGAGTGATATTCTTTTATATTTAAAAAGTCAATTGTTTTTATAATTTTATGTACGATAATTATTTTGTAGCAAAGCCTTGTCTACTAATGTTTATTTTCATTTATTATCATACGGACATAACGTTCCAGCCCTTTAAATATTGTGGATAATTATTTACCAAGACCACTTAAGTTAACAATTGTTATAGTAATAATGGACCTTCTCAACCACTCACCTGCGGTTGACTGATAGAGAATGCCTTTGGGCGTTGAGTCCGTCTATATGTTTATTATTTTTATACTAATTTTAAGGATTTTGTTTTAAATATTATTAAATTTAAATTTTACGAAATTGTATGGCATCACTCGTTATCATGTTTTAGTTTTTACTTTATTTAAATTTTATTTTTTTAATTAAATAATCATTTTTATTCGACAGCGCGAAATAAGGAGTGCTATGTTTTGTGGTAGTTTAAGTCTACCTAATGTGTGACTTCTAATTTTAATTATGTACACAATTATCTATTTAACAACTCGCTTTTTAATTTTATTATATTTTGGTATTATTTTACTATCTATCTTTTCTACATTTGGGCTGATCGTTGTGCCTAGAACCCAAATAATTTAAAATGATAATTATCTAATCCATGTATCATTATTTTGCTCAGATTTGTTTGTCTGACTTTTACTGTTTTTTCATGTTATATTTTTTTTGTTACTCGTCGCTTTCATATCTGGTGCCGAATAAATGCATCTTCCTCTCTTTCTTACCAACAGGAAGTTTTGTTTAGAGATCGATTATTCCTCCAACGCACCAACTCAAAGTTCTTTGAAAATAATGACGCATCGAATGTGTTAACTTTTTGGCACATTAAGTTCCTATCACAATAGGTACTAAACAAATGAAAAGAAATATATCTATAAACAGTAGCAGATAAGTAGATAACACTTAGCAACAAAATTATTTTGGTCCAAAAAAATTTACGAAAGAAAAACAATCGAATTTTTAAAACAAAAGAATAAAATTCTCTCACACCCGAAGAGCACAATAGGGTTATCTCCAATAAGTCATTTCCAATACTTTTTTCACACTATTTGTTTCTATGAATTACATTATCGTTAATACTTACTTACTTTATAAAAAACGTGTTTCTTTTAAATAAATTAGAAACACACGTGCTATTTAATAAAAATCAACACATGATCGAATATATTTCTTAAAAATCACCAATATATTGGATAAATTTTAACAACCCTGTTGGTTAACTATAAATCGCGGGTTACTCACGTGTATATATTGAGAAAAGCTCTACTAGTTTCGAACCACACACCCTGATGGTATCTAAGAGTTGAATTAACATAGCGATTGGCATGCTGTACGATGGTAGTAAGGGTAGATAGTAAGTGTCAGTTCACACGTGGCGTGTCTCAGGGTAGTTTCTTAGGCCCTACCCTATTTTTGCTAAGCATTTATGACTAGTGAAATATAAAATTTAAAGTGCAAGGTTTTTTGCATTCGCAATGCTACTGCGGTTATGTTAACTGGTAATTCTTGGAAAACGTAAAAATGGGTGCAGATATAGGGATTGCCTACATAGATAAATGGCTGAAAACCAACTTTTAACATTAAAAACCTCCAAGACCATTTGCATATATTTTAGTGTGCACGTAGTTCACGGACATAGCCGAATGACGATCTTAACTTGAGGGTTCATGCATACGGAGGCGTAAACAGACGAAGCATTAACTGTCAATGCTTGACAAGGGAACTATAACAAAACACCTGGACGTAATGGTTGACTAGGTCCTCTCATGGTACCCTCATACAAGTATTCAACAGGTGACTGCCAGAGGTCGAAAACTGACCTGTAGTCTTTAGAACTCTTAGACATGTGGTTCTTACTAAGTTGTTGAGGAGTGATTAGCGGCCTAGAAACAGACATACACAAACATAACTTATATGTCAGTAAAAAAAATATAGTAAGCTGGATTAAGACTCTCTCTGTTATGAAGATACGGACACTCTTTTCATGAGTAACGTATCCACACCAAATCACTTTGCTGACCTCACAAAATTGCACCATGTCATGACCACATCATTCTTCACACCATATCACTTTTCACAGAACACATTATACATATTATATTCATACATACAGAGCCAAAATATAACAAGTTTCTTCAAAACACGTAACTATGTGCTAATTCTTACTTAATTTTATTCTTTTATTACTTCTTTTTCACAATACCAAAATACTCAATAAAGGTAAAAGAAACGTATAACTTTATCTATGACATGGAAGAGCGGTGTCTAGTAACACAGGCATTGTGTGGTTTAAAAGGAAGCGCTAAGCTCAATTCTTGTGTATTGAACCCTTTGTCAGGGTTATAAATATCTTTTCAATGCAGTAATTAGTGTAGTGATCATTAGTAGGCCTATATAAAGGAGCACCTTTTAGGGTAACATACAAATAGTTGAAACTGCAGTTATCGTATACACGTCTTGTTAAGCCAAGCTGATTTATTTTATTTTAAACATGAAATCCGAAGTATCACAAGGACTTCAAAACGGCGCTAGTTCCGTGCCATGCAAGTCACGCCGTCAAGAGAATAGTGGCTTGAAAAAGATTGCCAAAAACAAACGCAACGGCAATATAAGAAGAGAAGAAAAGAATCTCAAACAGAAAATTTTGAAAAAGAAAACAGAAGTAATGCAAGATGCTACTGTTACTGAATCCCCTTCTCACCCTTGTCGATCTGTTGACGAGTTTCAATATGTCAATAGAATTGATGAAGGAGCATTCGGGGTTGTGCATAGAGCAAGGGACAGACAAACTGGCGAAGAAGTTGCTTTAAAACAACTTAAACCAATCAATCAGAGGGAAGGACTCTCCATCGCCGCTCGTCGAGAACTGGGAATCTTACTAAAGATGAAGCATCCCAACATAGTCGCAGGAGGGGGAATTGCGTTCAAACCCCTTAGGCGAGGAAGTATTCATAGTCATGGAGTACGTTGACTATGATCTCAAAAGTTTTTTGGAGACAATGCATGTCAACGGACAAATGTTCTCAACTGAACATGTAAAGTGCCTGTTGACGCAGCTCTTGAGTGCCGTGCAACACCTCCATGACCATCAAGTGTTGCATAGGGACTTAAAGACGAACAACGTACTTCTATCTGGAGATGGTGTTGTTAAGGTGGCAGATTTTGGGTTGGCTAGGGAGTATGAATCTCCTGTTGGGCAATATACACCCGGCGTAGTCACACGATGGTACCGTGCACCTGAACTACTACTGCTGTGTTCAGAATACTCCGCTGCTATCGACATGTGGAGTGTTGGGTGTATATTTGCCGAACTCATCACCTTGCAGCCACTGTTTCCCGGAAAATCTGAATTGGATCAACTGAACAAGATTTTCCAGGAACTGGGGACGCCTTCAGATATCATTTGGCCCGGATTCAGTGCTTTACCACTTGTAAAGAACATAGTTTTCCACAACTATCCGACAGGCGGTTTGCGGGAGAGGATAAACTGTGGAAAACTTTCTAATAGTGGTTTAGCTTTGCTGGAAGAATTATTAGCTTATGATCCGGCAAAAAGAATGACTGCAACTGATGCCTTAGGGCATTCATATTTTAAAGAAGAGCCGGTAGCGATCGAGCCTTCCGAGTTTCTGGACGTGGCCTGCTCTCTGCGCCGATCTAGATGAGGCTTTCGGCACTGGTTCACATCATTGCCAACTCATAATTGGTAATTAATGAAGATTAGCGTAAAAAATGAAGTATTTATCGTTTTAAAACGTTAAAAACTGTTTTAATTTTGTGTATTATAGTGTATGTATATAATGTTGTTAAGTTTGTTAATGTTAATATAGTTTTAGTGTAATGTAATGTAATAAATTAGTAATAATTGTTTTAAAAATACATTTAAATTCGTGTAAATAATGGATAGTGTAGTTGAGTTTGTAAATATTAATTAAATGTTTTTATTGTTATAATAAATCGCTATGTTATAAACTTTAGTAAATTATGACAAAGGTAAAAAAAATACAAAAGTCTTAAATAATTTTAATTATCTTGTTTATATTTTGTATGTAATTGAGTAAATTTTTAATACTCTTTTAAAATACATTTACTTCATTTAAGAGCTGAGTTTTCAATAGTCAGATAAATGTTATCTGAGGAATAAAATTGTTGCTGTCACTGTCTTATACAAATATTCTGACGCGACAGCATCTTCTTTTATCTAACCACCAACCCTAAATAATGTATAGGTAGTGTAGGGTAGTTTGTAAAAATTAATTGTATATTTTTATTTTTATGTAATAAATGTATGCAATAAACATTTGAAAATTAATATGAAACTTAACAAAATAAAAAAGTCCTAAATAATTTCAAATATCTGGTTTATATCCTTCCTTTAAATTTATTTATTCTTTGATAAAGCTTACAATATAGTAGCAAAGAACTAGTAAAAAAAAATGTTTATTCAGTGTAGAAATAATGATAATGAGGGTGTTACCGATCCCAATCGAATAGCTATTTGATTACCAAAACAAATTCACGATAGATAGCGTTGCGATGGAATCACATCGCGCTTTGGTTTCGTTACACGGCAAAGTATATATTTTAACTATTGATTTCTTTTGGGTATCCCTAGGTTCATCAGCGTTCATCTTTACTATGTCTTTGAAAAACAATTGTCAAACACTAAGATTACCTCCTGTAACATTAACTAACATACAAATTCAAATAAACGCCACACAAAGGCCCAGAAGTATAATAAATATGTGGCTCACACAAGGCGATGCTTCGAGCAGGCGAAATTCATAGAAAACATTAGTGCGAAAAATACAACCATATTGTGCTCTTCAGGTGCGTGAGAGAGTTATTCTTTTATTTTAAAAATCTCAATTGTTTACTTAATTTCATGAACCATAATTATTTTGTCGCAAAGCGTAATCTACTAATCTGCTACAATCTATAGAAATGTTTATTTTCATTTGTTAATCATCTATTGTAATACGGACATAACGTACCTGTTAGCTAAATATTGTGGATATTCACCAAAACCAGTTTAGATAACAATTTGTTATAGTAATAATGGCCCTGCTCAACCACTTACCTGCGGTTGACTGATAGAGAATGCCTTTGGGCATTGAGTCCGCCTTTATATTTGTAACAGTGTGTTAAAAGAAATAAACTTTTACTTTTTATGCTTTTCGATTATTCAAAATATTTAATTTATACGGAATTGCTTTTATAGGTAATTCTATTTTCAAATTAATGAAAAAATATGGAAAAATCATTGGATGGAAGTGAGTCTTTATGAGTTAGGGCGGCAAACTACACCACAGGAGTAACCTTGATAAGGAGGTTAAAGGACTGGGGGAGGCGAAGAAAGATTTGGCTTCCGGTAACCTCACTCACGTAGCTGAATTACTACTAATCAAAACAGTTTTTGTATTCTGTAAACAATACAAAATTAAAGTATTAATTAAATAAAAGACAGATCATACTTTTACTTTGCAGATTCCTGCGATTCCTGAGTTATATTGTTCTAGCACTTCGACACCGTATACACGAGACTACCCCTTAATGCAGCGGATTTGTGTTGCGGTATAGTAAGCTGCTGCGCATGACGCCTACCCTTCCGCCGGCGATGTGTACGAGAGCTTCGAGTAAAGGTGTGACGGATAATGTTTTAATGAATAACATTAAAAGACCGTTTTGATTTGTTGTAGTTTAGCCGTGTGATTGAGGTTGCTTTTTCTTCTCCCTCAAAGTCTAAATCTCGTAATTTCTCTTGTGCTACGGATGTCAGCAGCGATTGTTTTCCATCAGGTAAAAATAATGTGCATATGCAAATGCAGCTAAAAATTCGTGTTTTTCTTCGAAACACGTTTGTAAATGAGTAAGCATTATTAAATGCAATTTTATAATAGGTTCTTGAAACGAATTGTAAATTATTCGTAATATAATTAAAACCTCTTTTGAATTGTTGAACATATGACTGCAATAATGATATCAAATTACACCTAAGTCTTTGTAGGTATTACATAAAGTGTTAGGGTAAGTAAGTAAAATTTTATACATTTTTCGATTTTTGAAAATATGATATTTAATTTGTACGGAATTGTGTGACATTAAACGTTATGATTTATTTTGCATATTTGCATTCTCCTTTAATTTTGAAAAATAATGAAATATGAATATAAATTGAATGGAAAAATCATAAATGGAAGTGATTTTTTGTGAGATAGGGCGGCAAACGTGCTGATTGATAACGTGATGGTGAGATGAGACACGGCAAAACTAATTATGAAAACAGCATTTTTATGTTATTTCTTTCATGCACGCCACGATGCGCTTCAGCACTGAACTACATAATTTATGTTAACAAAATTAATTACCAACCTCAATTAAATCTGTAAAGATTAAGGTTTTAGACAGTTGCTAAATAATAGAATGTCTAAAGTTTTTGATTTGACATTGCTTAATTAATTCGGACGTTTGGTCGATTCTAACGACACTTGTGGAAGCAGGAGTCCATTGTATTCTATATTATATTACTAGCATTTATTAAACTTTCAATATTTACATGTATATATGCATGTAGGTGAGTAAACTAGAATTTTGTAACAAAACTTGGAATTTTCGACTTTCATCTAAATCCACTAAAAATCTCTACGCGTCTTTTAGGCTGGCCTTAATAAAATAAAGTTTTGTTTTTAATATATTGTTCTTCTATTGTATCTCTAATTACCACGATGGAAAGGTTAAGTGCCCGTGCCTTATTAACTAATGAAAAGGAAGATTATTTGGAACAAAAGTTCTTTATCCATTGTTGTGGTTAGTAGAAACCTGTATAAAGAAGGACCTTCACAAATATACCACATATACCGTTTAGAGTGCAGACGACGTTGACTTTACATCAGTGAAGTGATTATTTAGTTCTTTTTTTAAACATGAATTCTGTAAACAAATTCCAAGTCTCAGACAGTGCTAGTTCCTTACCATGCACAATACCGCAAGCTGTCACGCTCGGGAAAACATTCCGAGAGAACATCAATTCGAAAAAAGCTGCAATGCAGAAATACAAAATAAATAAACGTACAGAAAAAAAGGGCCACAAATGTATGAAAACGAACAAACATAAAGAAGAAGTTGAAGAACGTACTGATGCTGAGCCTTTTCATCCGGCAATAAGAGGCAGTCGGTCGATTATAGAGTTCCAATACCTGAATAAAATCGACGAGGGATCATACGGGATTGTGTTTAGAGCTCGCGACAAGATTACTGGTGATATAGTTGCTCTGAAACGACTTAAAGCTCTGAACCAGAATGAAGGGTTCTCCATCCCCGCTCGGAGAGAACTTACAACATTGCTAAAGATCCAGCATCCTAACATTGTCACAGGGCGGGAGATAGTGGTGGGTTCTGGAAGCAATGAAGTATTTGTGGCGATGGAATACGTGCCGCATCAGTTGAAAAATTTCATGGACACAATGCGCATGAACCATTTAATTTTTTCACCAGCACACGTGAAGTGTTTGATGACACAACTCCTGAATGCTGTCCTACACCTTCACGACAAAGGAATACTACATCGAGACCTCAAGACCAACAATGTACTGCTTTCTCAAGATGGTATTCTGAAGGTGGCAGATTTAGGATCTGCTCGGGAGTATGAATCCATTCCTCGGCAGTATACCCCAGGCAAAGTCACACGCTGGTACCGTGCACCTGAACTCCTACTACTGTCCAGAGAGTACTCGACTCCCGTCGACATGTGGAGTGTTGGGTGTATTTTTGCCGAGCTGATCATGTTGCAGCCAATATTTCCCGGCACAACTGAGGTAGATCAATTGGACCGGATCTTCAAAGAATTGGGGACGCCTTCAGAAACAATTTGGCCCGACTACAACGCTTTACCAATAGTGAAACACGTTATTTTCGATAGCTATGCGCCGGGCGGCTTGCGAAAGAAATTAAACAGCGGGCAGATTTCGGATTGTGGTTTTTCTTTGCTGCAAGGTTTATTAACTTATAATCCTTTAAGAAGAATGACCGCAGCTGGTGCATTAGAGCATGCGTATTTTAAAGAGGAGCCGGTGGCAATCGAGCCCGACTTGTTCCCGATATCGATGTAGCCGGTGGACGATGATCAGTAATCTGTCACTGAAACAGAAGATGATATCGGCTCTCTTCTTAGTACATCCGTCAGCGCTTTGGAGGACGATTATTACAATAAATTGACGAAATAGAATTAGTTTTAATTTAAAATCTTTGTCATTGTATAAATGTGTTGTGTTGATGGTAGTAGGTAATACTATTTTTTTGTACTCACTCTTGTATACAACTGTTACTATTTAAGCTTAATTATATTATGTGTGTCTTTAGTTTAGTGTGATTGTAAATATAAATTTGTGTTTTTATTGAATTAAATTGTATTAATCAAATTACATTTTTTAATTAAAAATCTTTTTCGATTTACTACTTGTCGATTCCAACAAAATATTTCAAAAAAAAAATCACACATCCATTCATGTTATCATATTTTTAATTTTTATACATTTACAAGATAAATGCAACTAGATATAATAAATACATCATAACTTTTGAAGTCACACAATTCTGTATATGAAAAATATTCACAGATTTCGTTTAATCGAAAAAAAATGAATTTCATTAGGTAAGTGTTCGAGTA